TCCGTTTAATATCCTCACTAGTATGAAAACGTCAAAGAAGAAGACAAAAGGTGTACAAGTTGAATAGAAGCCCTATAAGATCGGTGGTCTGGCCTAGGTGGTTAGTTTGGGAGTAACCGAATTAGGGGATCTTTAGCTCGAAGTCAAGACTTGACCTTGCCAAGGAGCTCGGTGCAGTAGCTTGGGGTATGAGTCCACCTGAATAAAGGGGTGAGCAACCGAGCTCGTAATAGAGCTCAGACAGGTGAGGATCATTACGACCTGAAGGTCATACAAGCGAAGGTCGCGTTATCGACCTAGCAAAGCACTGTGGCTGGTGGGTCACGAGGTCGTTTTTGATGATTTAAGGACATAAGAGTCGTAGCAGAAGAGGAAACATAATCCTGGTAAAGATGACGTGTATCTCGCTAACGAGTCTGAGGTCTGAGTGACGTATCATGCTAGGAAACGAGATACGACATGATCTCTTTCCTACTAGTGAGGTTACTTGGACAGTAAGATAACGTCTTTATAAAAGGGGTTACCATGTTCTATTTTAACTTAACATATTATTACGCCCTATCATACATAATTTATCATATTTACAAGCGAGATCTGACTTGAGCGTCAGAGGTTTGTCGTAAGGACCTCTCATCGGGGTGTTTTGCAGGTCACTAGAGCTCAAGGCAAGGAGTAGTTCATGGTTGTACGTTCTAAGTCCAGTTTGGAGGCAATTGGCATATCCAATTGGCGCCCTTGGTGGTAAATATCTAGTTTTATTAGTTGACAAGGACTTGGTTTTTCTCTTAAAATTATTGGATATCCCGAGATCATGGCTGAAGACAAGGACTTCAACAAATCTTCATAACATAGTCTTATCAATCCAAAGACTGAAATAACGTTTATTTGAAAATCGGTTGCGGAAGCAAGTAAGGCAGTAACATAATCAAGACCACCCTTGACTCCTCGTGACTGCCGCTAGCAACTCAACTTGAAAAATGAAAATTTATGGGAGTGAATAAACAACTAGCTCACCGTGAAAATTAATATGCAATTACCCAGTATAATAACAAATAATATAATCGTAACATGAATGTAAATAATAATTCTCGCATCTATCTCCATCCGATACATAGTCTAATGTGTACACACCTTATACCGTCGGATTCACCATTCATTAGGTGCTCATCGACAGGAGCCAAACTGAATGCCTCTCATTAGGCACCGCTTCTCATTAAGAATATCCTCTCATTAGGCATATGGAGATTGCCTTTCATTAGGCCAATTATTCATATACATACATTAATTATAGAATCATGCGATTATAAAGAACAAAGGCATAGTAAATTAGAGACACCCACCTCAGTTCGGAAATTGAAAAATTAAGCAGATGCTTCACAGTAGGTTCGAGGGCTCGACTCCTCGGAAATCTACATTTAAGCGAGATAATTTTTATAAATAAATTATCTCTTTTTTTTTGGAAAAATTGTTGAATTTCAACTTAATCAAACATTTATTTGATTAAGGACATTTTAGAAATTGTAAAATTTGAAACTCTCGGTTAATGGTGAAAAGGCTCGGAAAAAGGTTCACGAAGCTAAAAATAAGGTTTGGCACGAAAAACAGTTCAAACAGCTCAAAATGGTTTGACGACATTCCAAATGGGAGCGTATCTTTTAATATAAAACATACATAGAGCTGGACCGTTGACATATCGAACACCAAGAGGCATATCTACAACAATGGTGAAGACTCAATTTCCAAAAGAATATTTTATAAAAGAGTAATAGGATGAAAACAAAATATTATGATGCTGCAGAAATTGGACGAAAAACAACATGCACAGTCCGGGTATTTTAAATATAACTTTTTGTATAAAACTGATAATTGAATTATTTTTGTGCCCTTGGAAACATAATAGACAAATATACAAATCATTTGAAGACCTTAAAAGTGTCAGGTCACAAGAAAAGGTTCAAAATAGCAAAGTAATACAGACCGCTATGCAACACCAATTGACAAGAAAAACTGACCGCACAATACTCATACGTTGGACATAACTTTCAATGTAAAAGAGATAATCTTGTGATTCTTGCGCCTAATTCAACATAAGATACACATCTACAATTTATGTTCAGATATAAAAAACGTTCGACTAAAAAGACGATGGCCAAAACAACAAGGAATGTACAGACTTGTACTACTACCATTAACAAAGAAGACTGACTGCATAATGATCAAACTTTATTCATAACTTTTAATATAAAAAATATAATCACTTGATTCTTATTCTTTAAAAACCAAAAGATATTGAACCTCATATCATATGAAGAGTTCGATAACATACGACTGTGTTTCAGGGGTAAAAAACAACGAGGAAACAACATAGAGAACATTGGGAAAAATCGAAACTTGCAACACAAGGATTCTCGATCTCTTCTCTTGAATCATAAGGCATGAAAAGACTAAGGTTTCAATCACAACAAGGCTCCAAACATGGATTTTAAGGCTCAACAACCACACATGATTTTTCACAAAGATCCAACAATTTAAGGCACAAGAGAGTTCCAAACATTCACCTTTTTTCACATAATAACAATTCTCCTCAATGTTAACTAACTTTAAGGATCTAAAACTCTTCATGAAACTTGGATTAAGGGATCTAAACTTCTCTTCTTGAATCAACAAGCAAGGAGATAAGGGGATCTGATTTTTTTTTTTATCAAAATCTCGGTCGCTCCTCGGCATGGCGAACGCTCAGTGATACTCGACGGCTTGTGCTCGGCATTGTGCGGACAGTCCATGAGCAGAGGCTCGGTGTTCCCGGACTCGCGGTTGTTTGCAGACTTGGTTGTTGCTGCAGCGGTTGTTCGTGGACGGCTCGGTGCGTTGCTCTCAGCGGGTCACTTCGTTGCCAGAATATGTTGCTCGGAATTTGAGATGTTTGATGGCCAAAAGAACTCAAACTATGGTTTAGAAATTTGCTAAGATTGTTAAATGAAAGCAACAAGGCTTTTGATGGGGAGAAGACTAAAAATGCCGAGAAGGACAATGCTAAAAAATAATTTGTCTTGGTGAAGAATAAGGGAATTTTAAGAGGATTAAAAGTAGACTAATGTGCACTTAATATGCTAAGTAAAGAACCGATTCTAAGGCCAAAAGGGTTCAGTTTTTCTTTGCATAAATGGTTGATTAAAGGAGCCTTTGGGAGTTACCAAAATGGTCAAAGATACTCACCATAATTGGATAATAAGGGGATTTAATATTTGAATAATTTTTGGTGCACAAGGGGACTTAAACTCGGCCAAAGAGAGGAAAATGAGATTAGTATTTCATTGATTTGGCCGTGTAACTCCTTTTAAAAAAAATGTGACATGGTTATGAATTAAGGTAGTATATAAAGGAGATAATAATGCCATAATTGTTAAAAATAAATTTGAGTTTATACATCCAATGTGGTTCTAACACATTAAAACAAGAGGGCCGGATATACCTATATGAAGAGCCGAGAATCATGCTTGGGAAGGTCGTTGGACTTTGCTTGTACTACTAAAAACTATTTCAAACTTTCTAAAACTTTCTACAAACTTTTTTCTTTCTTTTCTTTCTTCATTTCCTTTATTTCTTTCTTTCTTTCTTTCTTTCTTTCTTTTTATCTCAACCCAAGCCTCACACTTGGGTCCTTATGGAACTAACTTCCCAGTACTCAATCTCTTTCTCAAAAAAGTTAAGACAAAATATTTGAACATTCTGCTTGTCTTATTGGGCTTAAGACTAAGTCCTAATAGGTGAAGCTCAATTTAATTTTACCTTAGGCTTGGCCTTCACTATTTTTCTAGGTCGACCATTCATGGAAACAACAAATACTCTTATCAACGTGAAGGATGACCGAATTACTTTTGTTGGAGCCAGGTTAGAATCGACGATTTTATACAAGTTACGGGCAACAACGAATTAAACCCTAAGCGCAGTGAAACTAATAGCTAAAGTTCAACGCGTACTGTTTAATAATGTTTGCCGACTCTGAGACGTTTCTGATTTCTACTATCATAGATCGTCTAAAAGTCAGAGTCCGTTGGTGATACGGATAGCACGTGAGACCCATTGGATATATTGATCCAATAACCAAACGTATATTTAGGCAGCGGAATCCCAGATCGGAGATCTAGTTTGATCGTACCTAGAGCTTGAAAACCTCGACCCGTTAGCTATATAATCAGCTAAGAACCTCGGTATGGTGAATGACACAAGATCTTGCTCAAGTATCTTGATAAGTTCTTAAAACAATTGAAACTCTACAAAAGAGAATTCAATCTGACAAAGTGATCTTTTTAATATTCAGCAATATTGTTTCATTCCTTAAAACACAGAATGGCCTTTTAAAGGCTACAAAAGGTGCTGATGAGTTAATCCCGTTTTTGGGACTCATGATGCACTAAAGACACACCTTTGACAACATAAATAAGCTTACATGAATTTTGAATGACCTTTTGACTTCTAAGACAACGTAAGAAACATTTTGGTCTCACAAATGCTGAAAATGGACAAACTAATAGACACTTCAATTGGGCTTCATGACATGGACGAAATTAAGTGTTCATGGATGAAATTAACTGTTCAATCCATGGATCAGTCATTATGCGAACAATCTGGCCCATCAACTTGAAGAATATTCATCAATTTGCCTTCAATCGGTGTTCCTTCCGTCTTCTCTTGAAATTCAACAATAAAACACTCAAGGCTTCATTCATTTTACTAGACATTTCCCTCATGATCGGTCCCACATTTATTTTCAACAGATCTATCTTACTTTGAACGGAGAGCTTCAACCGAACCCCATCATTCCCTTCTTCTTCAAAAGGATTCGTCCTCGAATCCAAATGTGTATGATTAGCACGCAATGGCACAACATCACAGAGGACCTCATCGAACTTGGGTGTCTTCTTCTTGTGGTCGTCATCGACCTCCACCACAACATCATCAATCTTGTCTTCCCAAATAGGAGGACCATCATACTCCAATTACTCTGGCACATCTTTGAACTCGTCTTCAAACAAAGGTGGACCTTTGTACTTGGTTGGCAAGTGCTCGTCCACGAGTTTGGTGGCCTCCACATCTTCAAAGTATCCCAGAAACTCTAATGGAAATGTGTATTCCTCATCTTCAAAGAAGTCCGAAAACTCAAACAAGAATGAGTATTCCTTGCCCCTTTCATCGGAGATCCTACCTTCATAGCCCTTACCCGTCGGATTGCTCGATAGTGCCATGCCCCCACCTTGGGGCGCACTGTCAGCGTACGGCCCCGCGCATCGCGGCTCCGTGCGCGTATCCGTGTGGTTCACCTAATGTACAGTGGCCAAGTACTTGGGAGATTTGCATGGCAACTTGATCCCCATACGCAACATCTTCTTTTCGATCCGCTCCAAATTTTGGAAATTTGATCGTATGAGATTTTTCGTCTCCTCCATTTGATCCTTCCGCTCCTTATTGACCTTTTTTTTTTTGAACGAACAAAATTTTCAATTTTTTTTTAACAATCCTCGTAGTAAAATACAAGGATTTTTTTTTTTCATTTTTTTTTTCAATACAAAGATTAATAAAAGAAGATAGAAATCAGATCAATACCGGATTGCTCTGATACCAAATTGATACGGATAGCACGTGAGACCCATTGGATATATTGATCCAAGAACCAAACGTATATTTAGGCAGCGGAATCCCAGATCGGAGATTTAGTTTGATCGTACATAGAGCTTAAAAACTCGACCCGTTACTAATATAATCAGCTAAGAACCTCGGTATGGTGAACACCACAAGATCTTGCTCAAGTATCTTGATAAGTTCTTAAAACAATTGAAACTCTACAAAAGAGAATTCAATCTCACAAAGTGATCTTTTTTAATATTCAACAATATTGTTTCATTCCTTAAAACACAAAGTGGCCTTTTTAAAGGCTACAAAAGGTGCTGATGAGTTAATCCCGTTTTTGGAACTCATGATGCACTAAAGACACACCTTTGACAACATAAATAAGCTTGCATGAAGTTTGAATGACCTTTGGTTTTCTAAGACAACTTAAGAAACATTTTGGTCTCACAAATGCTGAAAATGGACAAAATAATAGACACTTCAATTGGGCTTCATGACATGGACGAAATTAAGTGTTCAATCCATGGATTAGTCTTTATGCGAACAATATGGCCCATCAACTTGAAGAATATTCATCAATTTGCCTTCAATCGGCGTTCCTTCCGTCTTCTCTTGAAATTCAAAAACACTCAAGGCTTCCTTCATTTTACTAGCCATTTCCCTCATGATTGGTTCCGCATTTAGTTTCAACAGATCCATCTTACTATGAACGGGGAGCTTCGACCGAACCCCATTAGTTGGACGGCCAGACTAGGTCTCGTCATCAACTAGGACTCCGCTCCATGTCACTAGTTGTTCAGGCCCGCCAGAGGGTCGCCAGACCGCTGGTGGTCACCGAAGGTCGCTGGTGGTCGCCGGTGCATGGTGCTACCCGGGTCTGCGCGCTGGTAGCCCAGGCTGGTCGGGTCTCTACGGGTCACTGCACGCTGGACTGCACTAGGGCTACACGGACTGCCCGAGGTCTCCCGGGTCTTCTCGCGTACGACCTAGTTCTCCTCGGGTATGCTCATGGATGGGTACACTGGATGCCTAGGATGATGTCGGGCTAATAGGAGACCCTAAGGAGACATTAAATTGGGCTTCTCCTATTAGGACTAGACTATAGGCCAAGACTACTAAGCTTAATAGGAATAATACAGTCATTCAACTAAAGTAGTATTATTGAATACTCCCAATTTAATTCTCAAATTACATTTGAGCTCCAATTCTAATTTATCGATTTATCCCTCCATGTTTATGATATAATGTCCATCAAATAATTTAATTACTGACAGCTAAATTAATCGACTTTTTGAACCGAAGATAGTGCCGGTCAATACATTATTATTATGTTAGAATAAGTTCCACTTACCAGGTTAAACATAATAATCCTTCAGAGCTCACTTCAGGAACATTATCACACCTCAACTTTGTGAAGTACATGGTGACCGTAAACATTATAACAGAACACCAATTCATGTAGCAATCATTACTCCAAATAGATAGTTATTGGTCCATAACAACAAACCTCACCTTGCTGAATCAAAGTAGTAATTAGTACATACATGTGTTTGTTTATATCTTATAGGTTAAGAGAACGCAGTAGTTAGCCTGAGGCCTAGTTCGTTTACGACGACCAACATAAAACAAACTGCTCCTATCTGGGATCCTGTTCAATACACCAATGTGTACTAGTGCAACTAATTAGTCAAGACCAACTGTACCGTTGATACAACTGTTCCAATAGCTTGTTGAATTTTTATCTAGGTTGTAAACTAGTTTCTTTATGTTTCACAAGTAACCGATAAATGATCTTATGTCCATCCGCGATGAACCATTTATATAAGTACAAAACAATAGAACATAGAACTTGTTTAGTTTAACAATGATTCTCATTCAAACGGGAATAGTGTTAACAAAAAGCCAAACCTTTAGTATATACACCAACAACTTTATTGGATCTTGGAGAGACGGTCAAATTTTCCATGGACAACACCCAAGATTCTCCATCCAAATTTGCCAATGCTCGTTAGTGGATGTTATCAACAAAGAGGTACAATCCGTCTTTCACTCTACTTGTCTTAAATGAAACCCTCCTTTTGAGAAAAAGAAGACACTGGAGCTGAGAAATAATGGAAAGAAAGAATTTGACGGATAGTTGAAGGAATTGAAGGAGAATGAGGATACATTTGAATTGGAGAAAGAGTTGACATGGGATCCTTTTGTAGAGTCTAAAAAACCGGGAGAGGAAGAGTCTTGTTGAAGTCTAAAGATGCTAATTCAAGTTTGAGGGCAAAAATTCAAAATTGGTCCTATAATTTGGCCACTGTCCAAAAAACCACCCCGATATTGACCAATTTCAATTTAGGTCCTATAATTTGTCGATTTCATCAATTTTGGTCCTTTTTTATCTGCACCCTGGATTAAAAAGTGACGTGGCATGAAAAAAGGACCAAAATTGATGAAATCGACAAATTATAAGACCAAAATTGATGTGCCACGTAGATCATAATCACGCCATGTAACATTAAAAATCTGACACGTCATGCCACGTCACTTTTTAATCCAGGGTGCGGATAAAAAGGACCAAAATTGATGAAATCGACAAATTATAGGACCTAAATTGAAAGTGGTCAATATCGAGGTGGTTTTTTGGACAGTGGCCAAGTTATAGGACCAATTTTGAAATTTTGCCCAAGTTTGAGAGGTGCCACGTTGGGATTGAAGAAACGAGTTCCGGCTCTTGGAAATTCAAAGAACGAGAGTTGCACATTGAGGATGATGGTCATTTGACTAAGAAACTCCTGGTACCACCGATATTTGATTGGGCAAAGATCTATATGGATAAGGAAGAAGATGAAGATGGAGGGAAAGGTGCCTACCATGCCAAATATGTTCATTCTTCACCTCACGGCTTCATCAAGCTCAAGATGTTAAATTAAGCGCTTCATGGGAGGCAACCCACATTTTTTTATTTTGTTGTTATTTCTTATTTAAAAAAAAATAAAAGAAAAAAATAAATATATGCTCGTGTCAACATTCTCGGTAATTCCGACTTGTAACGCCCCGAATATTTTACTATTTATGGAGCTCGACTTTATTTCCATAAATAGAAAGTTTCTTTAGTTAGTGCTTTTATTTATTAATTGCATTAAATCGAGTATTAAAGTCCTAAGTCTAAGCCATGGAGAATTTATTCAATTTTAATTATAAAATCGAATTTATTTAGCCCAAGTATCGATTTTATTTTCAAGATAAAATCGAGCCTTGGAATAATTGGAATTTTAATTAAGTCAGGTCGAAGCCTAGACGAGCCGAGCCTCGTCCCAATACCCGAGCCATTTAATTCCTGCCCAAATAGCTATTCCGGCCAATTTTATTAAATCGAGCCCATGTTCGATTTTTAAATCCGAGCTCAATTATTTTATTTAATTCGATCGAATTACTAATTTAGTCGTAGTACCATTAAAAATTACTGATCCCGAACTTTAATTTTCTTTAGTCAATGTTCGGTCAAGAAAAATTATAAGCCCAAGCACGCTTGGCCCAACTCACTCCCACCTACCAAAACCCTAGTTTCTACCTATAAATAATTAATTATTCATTAGCACACCACTCATCTTCTTCATCTTCACCTCCCAACAAAAAATTTACTAAAGTCCAAAAACACCATAGCAACACATAAAAGGCTCCTAGCTCACTTATACAAAAAATCCGGCCATACTCATTTCTCTGGCCACCTTCCCGTCGCCAGCAGCCGCTGCTCGCCATCGAGCCGCCAACAAGCTTACCACCACCTGCGACCCGACCTTCACGCCGACAGACACGATTCCAGCCCCAACCGAGCCCAAGTCGCACCTCTGCAGCTCAGCCTGAGTTTCCACGTTCAGCCGCAGCTCGAGCCTCCATTTCCAGAGAAGTCGCCGTCCAGCTTATTGTAGCAAATTGTTATTTTTACCTAGTACCGAATCGAATGATTCATTCTCTGGGTTGATCTCACGAGGAAGGCTGTTCAGAATTTAGCTTGGGCATTGATAACACATAAAAATAAATAAATCCTAAACATACTAATCAATTAAGGAGGGTTTGAATACTATCAACTAAGAAATAATAAGAAGCTCAAATCTACCTACAAATATGAATTAAACAAAGATGGAGAAGATGGAAAATCGGAGATAATTTATTCAAGTTCTTAGCAAAACCGGACAATCAATTGTTCGGTTCGAGATTGACACTCTCGCTTAAACATCTAGCGGTTCGCTCCCAATAACTCTTCATAACAAGGGATTGAACATAGACGAACAAGCTCGAGCATACAACACAGGCCAACTATCCCAATCCCAATAACTTTTCGTAACAAGGGACGGGTCATCGACAATCACGTATTTCAATCTCAACCCATAGATTATTCAATTACGAAATTATCTATCTCATGCAAGCCTAGGTCTACGACTTCTCCCCTTTCGGTTCAAAAAGTCGCTAATTCAACAGAACCAAACTCGACAACTCAATATCCAATTGTTACCAACTGCAAGATCGAAGTGTCACCCTTCGATTACATCAAACTTTCAAGCACAATTTCATCAATTCCTAATCAATTCAACTCACATAAGCATGAACAATTCTAGCATGACAAATACACGTGAAACATGAACAATCATCCCCTATCCCTAGCAATCAGAATTAGCTATGTACAATGAATTCAACACAATCAAGAAATTCACCCCAAATAATCATTCACATGAATTAAGCTAGATGAAAAACTTATAATCAATTC